ATATATAGGACCATGTATATACTGCAGCTTCTTTATATCTTACTAACGAAAAAAGTTTCCGCATTTTCGTCACTGCGTTTATCTGATCGCAAACTTGCGAATCTAAAAACTCAAACCCATGTTAACTGGTTCTACAATTTCTCAGGGAATCCTTTCAGAATTCTGGCGAGCTTGAGGAAAATCGTGCTATAAAACAGCCGTATCTATACTTTTGTTCGTCGTTAAGGTAAATGGGTAGCCATGTGAACGGTAAAACGATAACGATGCGCTAGTGTCCTGCAGAAAGAATTCTGCAGAATCTGTAGCTTCTACATGACGTCATTGGAATACCGAGGCATTTGTGAACATCCAATTCAGGCATAAATAAGCCATTAAAATATAATGAATAACCTGGAAATGCAGTTCTTCATTGTGCTTGACCTCGTTCCATATATGAGACAACACAAACGATTACACATCGAACCTCGTGTCAACCTGAACAGAGTCAATATTCATTCTCCAATGTACACCTAATGGCAAAGCTCTGCTAGACTATTGTTGAGCAACGAGGTTCACGACGAGTCTCCCACTTGAAGGTTCTAATAATATAATTGCGTAGTAAATTCGTTTTGTCCGCAGCCTTCGGTGAGTGACAAGCTGGGGAGCGACCGTTTAGCAGTTTTAAAAAAAAGAAGGCTTCAAGCTAAACGCGTCGTAGCAATCATCTTTACAGCCGCATAACCGCTTGACGAAGGCCGCTTCTCCTGCTTCTGGAAGAACAGTAGGAACAACGACATTACAGAATAATGAGTTCCTGGCTACATTTATCGATGGAATGAACTTGATAAAAACTTCACAAGGTAGGCGGCAAAATATTAGTTTTAAATACGCAAAGTACGTGGAAGTGGAGAGGGGTAACGTAAGAGCAACCCGGAAGGTAGGACATGTGAAGGCATTCAAACCGAAAATCATAGTGACTGCTCAGTCGAAAGAAACTGTAGCTTTTTTTTACGGCCTTCGTCAACACTAGGTTTTGCTCTTACCCTCGATGTTTTCCTCTTTGACTTGGTGTGATCTTGGGCAGTTTATCTTTAAGCGAAGCTTGAAATTGTAGCTGCTTTGTCTTTCTTTTTGACCAAATGCTGTTTTCAAGGGAGCTGGCAATACAGTGTTGGAGCTCTCTTCGCGGTTTTGTATAGAAAGCAGTGGCCGTGCTAAAACACTAATCTGTCCTTTAAAAAGCTCGGATCCGGATTACTGATGTCCCATATGGAATTATAGTCGACGTATATTTTTTGTATGAGACGTACCGATCTTCTTGTGTACGCTATGACGTAGCCGAACGTACATATGATGACTATCAATCCTATGAGTACCCAAGCAAGTGCGGCAAAAGTCACATAATTGGCCAGATCCTCAGTGACAAGACGTATCTTAAATGCTATATCGTCATTAATCATAGCCGTCGTTTCCGTCCAAAACGTTGGCAAGAATACTCTTTTCTTAAATACTTGGAATTGCTTGAAGTCTGCAAAACGTTTGAAACAAAGAAAACGTCATTTAACTCTTAGGATAGAGTTCAAAAAGCCTGAAAATGAAATTTAATCAATACATTATATACTAAGATGAACATTTATAAAATACATTCGATCATAAGAAATAAATATACAACTATTTGTTTTACTTAATTAATACATATTGTTCAACGGATTTTTTGGATACCGCAGCGCTTACATTTAAAAGCATCGACGATAACGTTAAGTTGCAGTCTAGCGGATACCCTAAGGGGAATGCCCATTGTGGGCTCGACATCCATGAAGAACTCATGCAGCTCGGGATCGGGCGATAGGCCATCAACGGCTTCAGAAACAGATGAGGCGGCATACAGATGATGCGGGAGTGATGCTACTATTGGTGCGTCTGAAATATTGTATAAAAGGCATACGTATTACAAATAGAGTTCCAAAATTCAACCTTTTAATAAATGCTCTAAAAGCTGATTTCCATGAACAGCAAAATACGTAGACAAGATTTGCAACACATACCTGGCTGGCATCGGTTGAGATCAAGAAGACCGTTAGGAAAGCATTCAGGATCTTTGCCCTTCTTCTTGGTACAGAAGCATTGATTCTCCTTGATGCTATAGTCAAACAGCCGTTGGCTAAGATGATATCGTAAAGCCTAGGATAGAAAATAAAATATGCAGATTTAATAGGTACTGGCTAGTTCACTAATACGTTAACTGTAAGCCATAATCAAATTACACAATGAAGACAAAGAAGATCGTAGACACTACTAAATAAGCTGACTACAAAGGGTCCTACCCGAATTCCCTTGACGGTCTCATTACAAAGAAAGTCCAGTCGCAATGAGCGGCAAATAGGCGAGACGAAAAACACCAAGGGTGTCTGTCTAGTGAGTGTATATGGCGGCCACATCTCACCGGTAGTTCCATTGATGAAGCTGCACGATCGCCGGAAAGCGAGTACCCTTTTCTTGCCGTCCCAGCTATCCACCGTGCCGTAGTTCTCCATCCCTTCTTCCCCCGTGTAGATTGTATAAATTCCGTCATCGCTATTGTTACGCTAAAATTTACATTAAGTCAAAAACGTGATAAAAAGTGCTCAACCAAAGCTTTACTTTTCTCATTATAGTATTTTACCATTTGGGACAAATGATAACATGTTCACCGTGTAATGCGCGAGAAAAACCGTGATCGATTTGAGTGTATAAAGAAAATGGTAGGATCTAAAACTGCAAGCAGCTGGCTCTACATAGAGAAAAAGCAGGTACTGTGCTGATAGCATCAATAATCTGCAAATATTTCAAACAGAAGATATGTATCATTTTAATAAGATTGCTCTGAATAAGGTGCCATAAGTTATCTTTATATTTCTTGGTAACCTAAAATAGTGCGTTTGTCTTTGGTTTTCTTTAATATTTAGAAAATAGTCTTTGATTTGAAGTCTTTATGGGATGAACATCTTCGATTGAAGCAGTCGGTACACTTAAATCTAGTTTGAATATCAAAACGGATTTTGACGTACGTTAACCTGGTACCCGAATCGTGTTGATGACGACCACCCCATCTCCTTTGCCACCCTAAGTAACGGATCCTGGTAACCCTCAAACAGTAACTCGCGAACCTAGCTCGATAGATAATTATTATCGTTATAAAAGTATTACATTTATTTCTATATCATTTACAAGTAAGTATCATTTACAAGTAAGATGCCCATGTTTTGGATATGTTTGGGGCGCGTACCTTCCTCTGGATCAGAAATGTTTGATTGTGTTTCTCGAAGAGTTCCTCTATAGTGTGCGCCATCATTGACTCCTCGTTAAGAAGAGCTTTTCTATTTTTATATGCTGAGCCCTGCACAGTAAAATTACGAAAACTATTAAGATGACATTTCATATTAAAATTACTGGTCTCATGAGGTTAGTCAGTAGTCCTGATAGATCTGATATTAACACGAGCTAAAATGAATTCGGCAAAAATGGTTTCTCGAAATTGTAAAATGTATTAACTTACAATCATCGGTACATTGAGAGTAAAGAGTTCATCATCGAGGTTTCCCACGCTGAGGTGTGGTAAGAAATCATACGAAACAATCTGACGGTACGATACTGTACCATTTCCATTAAATGTAATATTGACTTTCTGGCGACGTTCCCTGACGTTAAGAGCAAAAGAAAAAGCAAGATAGTATTGAAAACGAGTCGGCCATGTATCGCCAGTTTTAATATTGAACGTGATATCACACGCAAATTAACTTGCATGCAAAAAACAATATGGCAGTCCCTTGGTAAAGGTTCACCGTCGCTCTCAAAGCAAGATGAAGATCGGCGTCTTTTATGAACTGGAACCTTTATGAGACATATAGTGAACTTAAACGGAACCGAGATTGAAATAGCCATAATATTGCGTCATGTGAACATAGTTTGCGTCGAGCTACCCACCTGTAAACAAACGGGCCCAGTTCATCTACTGTAGGCTTGAGCCCAGCCAGTATTTTCTCCGGATTCGTATAGTTGAATAAGTACATTTTAACATTTATGGTTATGGGGGGTTCTTGCCAACTCTCAAAAACCTCGTTGGAGGGGTCGATTACTAAATTCTGCAAAATTAAAGATAGTTGTCTTTATTAGTACGTTATAATAATATATATATATATATATATCTTTAGCGACACGCAACTTGAATGCATTTCGGTAAATGTTTGCGGGGGTCAGGCACGCTTGGTAAAAAATAGCACGGCCGTTACCACAAAATAGACACAGTGGAATTAACGGGCCTATAGTAATAAGCTGGTTTCTAATAAAGGGTTTCTAATAAACCTGGGTCTATAATAAACGATTAGAAGGAATAATCTTGCAATGTACCTATTTTACTGAATATTGCATTTTTTATTTATTATTATAGCCCTATCAAAGGTACGAATGTTTACAGACTTGAAGAGGTGTATAAGAGCAATTGTATTTTGTTCTCCAAGCAACTAAAGCTGATTAGCCGATTATTAGAAGATATAAGACAATAACCGCTGTTGTTTACAATGTAACTCGTTATATTCGTGTATAAGAAAGCTATTAGAACTCAAATGATCAGAAAACAAACCATGATAACACTGAGGGATATGAATGCATCGTCGTGAAGAGATGGAAAAGCGATAAGGATGTAACGGCGTAACACGAATCATATAGGGATTAGCCGCTACGTTACATACTGTTGTTGTAGAGAAAATTAAATAGGTACAGATTATGAAACGTCTACGGTAAGAAACAAATTACTGACCGTAATCAATCAGAATTGACGACTACGTCCTGAGTAATGTGGACGAAACCCAACATGATCACTAAGGCAAAAATCTCTAACATGGCTTTCGTACGATGCGAAGTGCTCGAAAAAAAAGCACGGCTTCAGCATTACGGATTTACTTCAAGTGGGGATGAAGTATTCGATCGAAGACTGTTATCTTTACGGCCATTTCTCGGCACTTGGAGAAGTGGAGCACATGGTGCGGCCGACATTCTCAAACAAAGATCCATAATGATCATTTAGAATTTTTGATGAACTATAGCATAAACATGAACTCCTTCTAGTGGATATGAGACACAAAAACAAAAAGACCATCTACACTTGAAATTGCTTTGGTATTTCAGGAAATAGCTAATGATATTTGCAATGCACAGGAATTTATGTTATAACAGAAATCAATTGTTGGCTCGTATCATTAAAAAGGGTTATTTCGGTATGAAGCAACGAATAATAAGCGTAGGCCTTTTTTAACATTAGACGAAAAAAAAAAAAAAAAAAAATTGAAAGATTAGAAATTATATTTTTTGCATGATCTGTTGGATGCGTCAAAATGTATCGATTTCCTATTATATTAATCCGTTAATTTTACCGACACGTTTATGTGCGATAGAATAGAAGTTTGTATAGGTCTCGTTCAATTTGTTCTCGCAGTGAATAAAATGTGTATTCTATAAAAAAAAAAAAAAAAACCTTTGTTCACATATAATAAGTAAGTACGAGCCATAGGTGTCGCAAGGAACACTGGCCATGCCTCGTCGCCTGTACATACTTCTGGAAATGTGATGTAGCAAAAAATCACTAGCTCGAATGGTGACTTAAACGTCAATTTTTTACCATATTTTTTTTACTGGCGTACCGTTGGAGGGGCAGCTTTAGTATGATGGCACTTTTCAATGTCAACATGGAGATCCTTTATTACACTAAGTGGGGGGGGGGGGGGGTTACAACGAGTGATGTTATTTACTTGCAAATGACGGAGCTGCTTCAAGTTACGGTATTCGCTGTTGACATAATATAGACCAATGTTTGTTTGTGATGCTTTCGAATAAAATGCAATGAACAATGAACTTAGACGATTGGGTCGCTTCATTATCGTACCTCATTCATCCGATTGACAAGTAACGATTCAATAACATTTGAGTACTTACAAATGATGCATTCGTCTCTCTTGGGGACTCTATTCCAAGACAACTCATAGCCAATTTCGTCATCTGTCGCATGGCTCCCAGCAGAACAGGAATGACAAAGCAAAGTTGCGTACTAGTATAAGGAAAACAGAAGTTCCGCATATCGTTCCATTCTCATCTATCACTGATTTGAGTAAAAAATGTGCGCGCAAGTTCGTACAACGCTCAAAAATGATGCAGAAATGATAGTGAAGATTATTTGTGAAGGATGCTCTGCAAAATATTGTATCGAAGGCATAACGAGAGCACGCATTCTGTTCTCCGTACGTATTTTTTTCTGCTACTGGGTGATCTTCGCAGATGCTGCACACTGCCGGGTGATATCGTCGCAGAAAATAGGCGCTGCCAACAGAACACTGACCGCCGGCTGCGCACTGGCTGCTGAGCGACTGGACAGCAGCGTTACCACTAGTGAATGATCGCAATGGACAGAGTTATTCTAGCATTATTAGATTTATGGGCATCAATGATGGGCCAGCTGCGGGCAACCTACTGGCCGATCAGCGTTACGTCTCATTTTGAGTGCTTTCATTGGTTTGAGCATTTACGAAAGCTGTCTGTACGAATGTGGAATCCTTTCTAGTCAGTCGACCGACTGACGGTGGTCAATACTAGCGGCTGGCCATTCGATTTCTAAGTTCGTTTGATACCCCCTAGGAACAGCACGAGATACTTGACTACGAATTCAATAATGCGGTAATTATGACTAAATTTTAATGAACAACGTATGTATCTAGTAACAGTTTCAATGGAAATCCGATAACCTCTCCTGCCCGTTTAAAGAGGACAAGCATCATTTTCTTTCTGCTTTGCAAAAAGTTTAGATATAGTCCAGTTTTTCTTACCTATCGCTATCTGTATTGTGCTTACAGACCGGCACCATTTGTTTATTAGATACTACCAGTTGACAAACTGGTGATAGTGACGTTTGCGGAAAACGCTATCCAGGAGCCATAGGTATTGGAGGTGATCAATTCTTTGGCAGCTACTATACCCTAACCAGAATCAAAAAAGGAAAGACTGGATGCTGGATCACACAACAAATACGCGACCCGAGTTCGATGCTGATGAAAACAAAGCTAACCAAGCTATTATAAGAGTGTGATAGCGGTAATCGTCCAGCGAGACCTGCTTTCAAATGCTGCTTGCTTGTCTGCCCCCGTCCGGCACCGCCATCTTTAAGGTGCATAACCGTCGGCTGCAATGTCTGATATTCACTATGTCTGCCTGACCACTACTTGTTTTGTTTCTTTTTTATTATAACGTTTTATTTTTGATAAAAAGGCGTGTCTAGACGAATCGTGTCCATGACGTGCACCTGACCAGGTTCCCAAGCTAGTTTCAGCATGCTTCGGTTGAAAAGCACGAGTACTGCACCCACTTGAGTGCTAAAGCGCACTAATAATCGTAAAAGAAGACCAGAACGACTCTAAATTATAGCTGGATAACATTGAGAGGTTTTTTTGAAGCTGAAAGGTGTCGGGTGAAAGGAAATGGTCTAGAAATATCTACTTAGCTAAGGTAATTTCATTGGTATTTTAGTCAGTGAAGGTGCATCTATAATTGTATGTACGTAAATGTACGGCTATGCATTGAAGCTAAGTTGAATCTGCCTACAGCTGCTTACATCCGTTTAAGATGGCTCGTTATAGTTTTGGGCATTTAAACGATATACTTTAGCTGTCATTTAAGCAACAGCCAGGACATATCTCATCGTCAAGTTCGAGAAGTTAATAGGACTTTTTCTGAATCAACTATTAGAACCAGACGTTTACTTTTCAGTTTAACACAACTCTACAGTCTCTAATAGATATAATCTAATCTATTATAAACTATTCTACTACCCAGGACGCGGGCATCTAAAGACACGGATACGTTCTTAAGCTTTATTTCAAGGACTATCTATATAAAAGCAGACCTACACCTAAGCACAATTTCATATGTGCTTTAAGTGTCATTCCTCGCAATCAATTTAAATTGGGGTCTAAACCACTACCTATCCTTTTCAAGATGTTCCTCGTTTTATCCGCATAGACCTTTTTAATAGTAACCGCAAGTCTGGCGATATCAGAATACGAAAACTCATGTTAAATTACACTCAGATACACTACAAACTTGTTTTGATACCAGTCAGAAATCCCAAAAATGTGAGGGTCTGAAGTGGCCGAAAAATTCAAAAGAGCTAAAAACTTTCAGCAAGTCCAACCATCGAATTTTACCTGAATGGCATTATTGGCAATTAATATTCCCTTGCCTAGACCGGCTATCAATCTCTGTGGCAAAAACCTAGGTGCACCAAAAAATTGATTTGGATAAATTTTCAAGCAGGTTAACTAAGAATCTTATTGACTCTTCTACTTTCCTCACGGAAGTCTTCTTCAGATATTTAGGAAACCGTATGAAAACTGACAATAACGTACACCTTCGATCTTAGACAAATAAGGAAATTTCTAGTCGTCATGGGAGTTCGTATAGCGCGGAAACGCTGAACAATAGTTGATTTTCGCTCAGAATCCAGAACGACACATCAAAACGAGCTAGTTGTCCGATCCTGGCTTTTCTCTGGCATCAAGAATAGCTGGTGAGTAATTATTATCCAACGGTCTGGCAAGGTTTATCTCAACTTAGGCGCGGCCCACCGTATTTCACCTGTTTTAGGTGTACATCATCGGTTGTGAATTGTCTGACCCGTTTTTTGAAGGCGGAGCGTTCATCAGGGATCAAACTTTGGCATTGCCCTGTTACTAGACTCTCGCTACTGGACAGGAATCGCCGCCACCGAAGTGCACTTCACCCTATTTGAAGTCAGTAGATACAAAAACCGGCATTGGAAAAGTCCACTCAACCGGTGTCAAGAGCGGTTGCAAGTTTGTCCCTCTCTAACACTGCACTTCAAAGAAACATCGTACCCTTAGTCGGCAATCGTACCACAAATAACAAAGTCATGATTTTGGAGAATAAATGCCCTAAAGACCACATATTTGAGACAGACAATTGCCTACTCCTATCTTCCGATCTAACGATGAAAAACTATTTTGCATCTGAAGCGAAATATAAATGATAAACCTAAATTTCGTTAGTAAGCACGACTTCTTTCATCTGAAGACTTGATTGTATTCAATTGCTACGGAATCTAGTGACTTAGATTGGTTTTGGCTTCAATGTCGAAATTGTTATAGATATAATCATTATATGGAGTTTATGAGCTTGGCCCACAGCCTGGTGCAAACGGCGCGCTTTAGAGCAAAGTCATGGACCAATATCTGTTGACACCTGATTTGTCTAATGCTTTCTCTTTGCTTTAGTACCAGTAGGGTCCGAAAGAACTGCTTATATCACGGTACGTCCGTAACTTATGAACGTTTCGTTGTTAAGAGCGCTCGACTTGGTTCATCGAGTGTGTTTACTAACTATAGAGATCTGCCTCGATTTGTTGAAACTGAGGCTAAAAACGATACGTCCTCATTTTCGCTTTTTGCATCACTCATTAGAAGCGACCGAAGCTTAAACCCAACGTACTTAATTAGAGATTACGATGATTAACCTAATAATAAGTGATTTTCCCAGAAAACGCTTTGTACAAGTCGCAGTTGTTTGACAGTGCCCCAGCTGAAATGGCCAAACCTATTAGCAGAACGTTAAATAATAATAATTAGATACAACAGGTAAACCTACATTTTTAATTAATTAACAGGTTAAACCTACAAATTTTAAAACCGCTACAGTTACCGTTATGTTTATATTACAAATGGTATGCTCCATAGGAGTATTTCGCGAGGGCCCCATTGTGCGGCAGTGTAGTTCAAACATTGTTTGGAGCTACCTGAACATAAACTAGGCCCTCCTTAGAAAAAGCATTTGCAAATCTGTAAAATTAAAAACTTTGCAGCCGTAAATTTGTCGTGTGACTTACGTCATACCGAAAATTATTATTACGTTAAGCCGAAAATATGACAGTAGTCGGTACAGGTCACATAACTTAGGCTTGAAAAAAAATAAAGTTTAATTTAAAAGATCCATTTAGTGTTTACTAGTAAAAAGCAATATTTCCAGCCGACTAAATAAAAAGCTATTGCAACTATATAAACGAATTTTTGTTGACTAATACATACGACAGTTGTACAAAAATATAGATACAAAACCTAAAATGATAGCTGTTAGTTAGCTATGGTGTAGCCAATGGAAATGCTTGAGTCACAAGCGACGCAAGGTATGTTGCCTCTATGTGATTTCACAGAGAGCTCCAGTCAGCAATCTGACTATTTACAATCACAGATTTAGCCGTTCAAGATAAAACCCCCGAGAGATGAAACCTTTTTGCGGATCAATTTCCGAACACGGTCTCATAAGCAATTCTTATTGTTCTGTTTTACCATGCAAGCTTTAAACTTCGACTTCGCTGGAAGGTAATAACAAAAGCGTATCGCGTATCTTCTCAGTAATTAGAGAAGCCTATAATCTGGTGATACAAGGCAACGTCTAGTTCAACTATAGGTAATGTCTATGGACATAGGGTTCATGGAATGGGAGGGTAACTGCCTACTTGACAATGTTCTGTTGAGGCAATTTTGTGACACACTTTGTGCAATAGATAATGAACATTATCGAGGTAAAGTTTGAAACGTATTCTCGTAGCATCTTCTAGCATTTAACCCTGACCTGACCACATATGGCGCCCATATATGGGCAACAGAGTTCGTTCGTTCGTTTAATTACTTTTTCGAATAGAATAGGTTTGCATCTTCTTTAACACAATATACAATACGGCTTAGGTAAGATGTTATAGCTATTTGGGCATGGGGCCGATGATAAGCCGCCAAACCTTCCTGAGTGAATGTGATGCGATGGTAATATTGATCTGTGAAAAGTTGACCTCTCGATAATAAGGTATGTTTAGTAGGTTCTTATTATATCATAATCCCATTAACCATCTAGAAAAACTCAATCATAAATACTAATTCGATCATTCGACTCAAACCTCTGTTTTGAGAGGTTTTTTACAAAATGTGTACACCCCTTGAAATATCTATGTACCGTCTTAATTCATTAGTTTTATTGTTATTAAGCTTGAAAGCTATTGTATATTTTGATAAAAGCTAATTTATTACTGCGGCTCGGCTTCAAAAATTTCTTCAGCCGGAGAAAGCATACGTTACAAAACTGGCCGCACGGAAGTTCCTCATTCATATATATATATAAATCTTTTACTCGGTTGAGCTATATCGACAATCGATTTACTATCGCAACGAATATCATATAAGCCTTTAGTTGGTCCTGCATTTTATTACAGACACAAGAATCAGGTAATGGTGCTAAAGATGTTGTTGTTGTTGTTATCCTTGACCTAAACAGTGGATCCTTTTCTGTAACCGACTCTTTCGTGCAAATAATAAAGGACACATTTAGAATAAGGCCTAGAATACATGATACTTATTATTATTACAGTTATTTATTATCCGATGGTCACAGGCAATAAATCAATTATCAATAGAGTTAAAAAGGAGAGATGTCTGTAATCTTTATGTAATGTTTAAAATAAAATTTATACATATTTTACACTATATATATATATATATATATATATATATACATACATAAATTTACACGTGTTTATATATAAGAGGGAAAAATAATCAAGTTCTATGATATTCGCTTCCGTATGGATAGAAGTTTGCGTAGATGCCTTTGTGTAGAGGTTATAATAACATTTTTTTTCAAGGTTTTCAAAAAGCAACGAACACAGTCGACTACTTGAAAAAGATCACACTTTTAAATATGCTCAAGTTAAACAATGAAGTTACGAATTAACAAAACGTCTCCATTTCTTAGTAAAATCTCTCTATCATTATGTTACTGCACAGAATGCTATTGTAATTACGTTGTTTTACGAGAAGACTCGATGAGTCCTGGAACTGCTCATAATTACTGGTATAGTTCACTTATGCTACAATCCGACTCACGTTATGTTCTAAATAACTTGCAGGCGAACGCCTGATGCCTTTGCCTGCTTACATATGTTTCAATCCGGCGTATAACTTACAACTGGCCCCGAGTAAGCCCTGCATTGACCATTTCATATCGCTTCTTATGCCGTTACATAAAATTCTTCTAGCCGTTATTAAGGTTAATGCACAATTTAAGGGGTTGTGAACGCTCGTTACTGGCGTCTGAATTCTTGTAGATACATGCAAGCGAACTACTTCAGATTACAATAGAGCTTCAGCATAAACGTAAACACGGATGGTTAGCATTTGGAAGAGGTTAATATATGGCAGGACTTATCAGGACCTACGACGGGCGCTCAGCCTCAACAATTTCAATTTTGTTCAAATCATGTCGCCCAACTTTGTTTAGCCTACGCGTATTTCTAGAGCTATGTAGCATGATAATGAAATCTATAACTGGCGAGGCCGATTGACGTTTGTGTTCACGACTATTTTCAGAGGTTTATAATAGCCAGTAAACAAATGTTTAACTGTTTACTTTTTATACGATATACTCATCTTTCATAATAACGCTGTATGCGTTTTTTTATATTCATTCGATTCCGTCTGTAAGAACAATGCGGCCTTTAAAACGGTAGACCGATTACAGGTTAGGACTATGAATGAATCAATGAAATATGAGAGGAAAAATTTTGCATCCCAGCTTTTAATAACTCTAGTTTGCAACATACGTTTCCGCTAGAAAAGACTATTTCTGATCAAAAATGTTTGTCTATTCACGGACAAATGTACTAGCGATACAATAATGTTCAGTATCCCATTTTCAACTCATGTGCTTTCATAAATGCTGATTCATCTAAACATTGTAGTGAATGTTTCTAATAAAAAAAAAAAAAAAAAAAAAAAGTAAATGAAAATCAAAGTAACTTACCGCTTTAACTTGCTGTTCAAGTATGGGTGCAAACGTAGTATATGACACCACGCCCAATATACAAAAGAGAAGACCTATACACAGCGAAATAATCACTCGCAAAAGCGGGCTGCAACCAGTCGGCGCTGAATCGTAGCGCTGATCTGAACGAACTTCCTGCTCCGACAAGCGCTGACCACCGCTACACATCGTGAACAACCCGTTTTCTTCGGTATGACACAATACGCCAATTAGTTCATTTTTCAAGCTTTTTTTCATTGACCTCCATCAACGACAGGCTCTCTGTAGTTGATTTCTCCACGTTTGCGCTATTGGTTTACGATTGGGAACAGCGCAGACATCAATGCAGGGGCACCAATCTTTCAATGTTGTTTTATACAGTTACAATCGTCAAATCATAAGTTACTGGGTACACTTAGTGTCGCGATTTTAGATCAAATCAAATTCTGTGCTATGAAGAGCAGAAGGAATAGGCATACACTGAGGTAACATCTAGAGGCATATCGTCTAAAAATTCAATAATTGACGCTAAACGAGTTGTTGACCTCAAACTGAACGAAAGACACACAAGCAGCGATAAATTCCACATACTTTATGCGACTTACTTCTACAGGTGCTAACATGATTATTGATTATGCAGCATACATGATAACATTGTGATGCTAGGTATGAGACTCGAACGCCTCGTTTCCATGCAGGAATCAATTCATAGACACTAAACAAGCCAGCCAACATTGAGCAAAGCTTTCTGTTTCGATACGAAACGAGAGAAAATGTCGAAGTTGGTCCCTGCTTCCGCTGCTGATCGTAACCATTATGCACCTGTCATACGCACGTTGTTCGTGGAGCTGCTACGACTGACGTTGGCTATACTGTAATTTCAACAAGTTCCTCGTAAATGTGGGGTATCTAAAGTTTCCTACAGACCACCACCTACAACGAGCGGTTCTTCCAGCAGAACGTCGGTATACGTATAAGTTTCTCTATGTATGCTTATATAAATAAACTTCAAGCGAACGAGCATGAGGTCACCGCTGGTGTTCTGTCATACGCTTTCTTGCTCGTCCATGGTACAAACCCCATTTCACCTCGACAACTTTTAATCAGTTAGGAATACGGTTGCACTGTGCCGGTCTTTTACTATTAGAACTACTGCTGCTGCCAATAGCGTCGTTGATGCTCAGTTTTGTTCCATCTCGTAACTTATCAGCGTCACTCAGCTGTCTAGATTTACTGCCAGCGCGAACACCATTACTGTGCTCACTCAGTGCCTCCCTCGATCCTCCTGCGCATCGGTTGATGTGCGTTCCTTTCTCCTGAAAATTTTGAAAGGGGACACAAATCAGCTAACCAACCAAAGCTTCTTAAGCGATAATTACTATCGACCGCTGTTTACCCCTATGTCTAGTGCCTTCCCATAACAACAGTCGCAGCAGTCGTATTCACTGCGGCGTAAAGTGAGGGAACACTTCGATTCAGTTTCGGCTACGACGACGCCGACTAGAGCTATTTCTTTTTGCTTTGCACTACTCTGTTTCGGTCTCTTGACTTTTAGAAAGGCACTCGTTGCGATGCCAGTGACTATATTATTTGACTTTTTTTCGGCGAGCTGCCGCACTCGAATCTATAACGGCGGGACAGCAGACGCAGTAGAGACAACTCAGTAACTCGACAATGCAACGACTACGAATCATAGCAGCACAGGATTTCGAACAATAGTCAACAACGGCTGCGATTCAACGTGGTCCTGCTTGGCTGATCGACCCAAACTCGCCGTTGTGGCCTGAACAGCAATGGGTCCCAGTGCCCGAACTAGCCGGACTGATACTTCAACCTTTTCTGAAGTAAGGCATATACACAGCTACGCATACGCACATTTTCACGCAGTTAATGACGCCAATGAACGACAATCTCAACACACACAGACAACAGCCTGTCGGCCAGTGGAGGAAGGATAGGCCGCCGGCGTTCACGATATACACCGCAACTACAGTGGTGGTGGTCGTCGTAAGCATCTATTTCCTCCCGCGGCACTCGGCTCGCTCATCTGTGACTGTCGCGGCCATGGAGCCAGTACAATTTTAGGCTAAAGGCGGCCGATCCTCTGGCTGTTTAGTTTTTCTTTATGTTACTGCTTCAGCTGCTTTAACGTTAGGCCTCAACAACAGGGCGAGCGACCCACCATCTCTTCTACCCCCCTTTCCCAACTACGGCAGCACTAAACCGATGACTGAACCCTCGCGTTGCTTTCTCTTCCGCGGCATGGGCAATAGTACAGAACACAAGCGCCGTCGCCAGAAACAGCAGCGCTGTCGTCCGTCGAATTGTTTCTGTTTTTGCGGTGGCTAGTATTGGCGCTCACTAGCACAAGTACCCTTGGGACTGCGTTAACCCTTCTGACCCAATGACGAACTTCACGACACTGACAATCAAAAACATTCATAAATTACGTTGCAAATCCCAACTGACATTACTTCAATAGCACCGCATGTGGGTGTGTGTGTATACAGCGCTTGTTTCGAACGGACCCGTGCTTAGACGAGTGACTAAAGGCTCGACTGGTAGCTAACGAATGGAAGTATTTTGCTACCGCATAATTTTTTCCCATACGAAACTGATGATGAGAATTACTAAACAATGACTAACGACGAAGGGGTACAAAAGGCTGATAATTATATAATAATTATAACATATAAAAGTATATATATAATAATAACATTAATGAACGCCTTTTTATAACTGCTGGCTAGACAACTGATGTTCGGAATATTTTTTTGTTACTATTATATTTACTGAGATTTACTTTATGTCGTCTGTAATAATAGCCTAATTTGTATATCTGGCAAGAACATAAGCCGAGGGCTTTGTGGGAAAATTTTTCCGTAATATATCGTGCATTCGGCATATAACTTGACGGCTTCGTTTGCTAGGTTTTTAACTAATCAATAATTTTCGATTGGTCGAACATATGGTTTTCTTTAAACTTTAAAAAATACAGTAAATCATCGCATTGTTTAAGGTGGGTCCTTAACGCGCCTTCGATTTCTTCTATTAGGCCCCCGCAAAAGAAGCATGTGTTAACTGATGTAAATAACTGATACGTCTCGACGGTGTGATGGGCCTTATCTCTACGCGAGCCAGGCATCGGTTTCGCGCCACAATATACCCTTCGTTTCATAAACGTCACACATTTATATAGCAATATGATGAGTCGTTTTACTATATTTGACGGCTGTGGCACCTGTTTCCTCACCTTTGTGCTCTCATCTTATGGCCGAGGTAGTCCGAGCAATTATTGACGTATGAATTGTAGAGCATAGGAATAAACTCAGATCCTTTATGGCGATAGTTGAATAGAAAAAAAAATTTCGTAAACACCAATAAAAACATGACCAAATAACCGAAAGGCCTATGGAGCTTTCAAATAATAGACGCCCGTGTAGCATGAGACCCACGTAAAATCTAAGCAATAGTTCCCATCAGTAGGTTCCAAGCATCAGAACGATTTAGGACCTTCTCTAATTGCATCGCATAAACCAATCTGTGTACAGCAATCGTATATAGGCGAATTTACTCTGTTTGATAAAATAATTAACCACGATTGAGAAAAATATGTGCCTTTCATTATTCTCTGTTCTTAGTTTTTTCTCTCTTAGTGTATAAAGCACACGCTAATAATTTAGTTATATTTTCTGCGTTATTGTTTTGCTCATTAAAGTTGCACCAACGTGCTACATATGTATAGACCTGAACCTGTATTCAACTAAATAATTATAGCTTTATTATACATGTAATGCTGTGGTGTTTCGTCGGCACAATGAATGACTATATAAAAAAAATATAAGGCCGTGAGAAATATAAACGCCTGCTTTTTGGATGCGAGCTAATTTCAACTACATCATAGCTAGACTAAGCTAATTGGAAATTATTATGTGTTTGTCTCATTCCGATATCCTTGGAGACGATTGATAAATGAATGTGTAAATTTAGCAGGTGTGATTGATTATAATAAGAATGGGATTGTAATATGTGTTGTGTTTTTTGATCAGCTATCCTGTCACATGGAAAAAGTTTAATAGTAGTAGTTAATAATAACACTCGGCAACAACCATGCTTTTCACTGCTCCATCAGATAGATACTTGCAAAAGTTCTCGTAAAAACGATACTTTGAAATGAAACGAATTAATTTTCAATGTGTAAACTTTTGCAGGCCCACTATCTTTTCAATAAGCCTTTTACAATTACAGAAATTGGAGCAAATAATCGGCGGTGGTTTTAGTGTGCCCAATTTTAGCTTTCTCAGTTTTGATCTGCCACTACATGCTTTAAGCAACATTGCTGTGTGTAATAATAAAGCCACGAAACGTGCATTTGAGTACATAGCCTTTTATCAACTGAACTGCGGAACCTTATACGGCTTCTTCAAGGAGAAATGTCTCGTAACAACCCAATCAGTACTTACTATAATCTCTGGCTTGAAAGGATTAGACGACACCGTAATCGAGAATTTGTCATTACATTCTGTATCGTAGGACGTTCGTGAAACTGCTAACGGGTTTGTCGTACTCTGTTCTTTGAAATAGAGCAGTTTGTGGCTGTGAGTGGATGTCGAGCGGTGTGAGGTATAAAGAAGAAAGGTGATGTTAAGAAAACAATGTCGCCCAAGGAAAGATATCCATTGCTCAACAATCCGGTGATCCTCCACCAGCTTCATCGGACTGCGATGAAACATTATTAATAGTTGGCCAAAGTAAAGCTCAGTTCAGAATCGTGACTGAATGCTCGAATCGAAGTATTCCGATATCGAGTCTTTGAAGAACAAGGATGATCAACATGTTTTCAGTGATATTGAAATGGGCATCCCTGGCCCTGAAGTGGCAGAATGGAAGCCACTGCCTCCTGTCGATAATTTGTCGGCGTATTTAAACGGCTTATTTACGATTCCACCGAACACTCAAAGTTATGGTGCATGAAATAGAAACTATTTAAAAGTTTCGTCGAGAATACTTTTCATATAAAAATTTATAAACCTATAAAATTAATAGAATATATATATATATACGGGTGTCTTACCTTCGATAGGACATATTTTGCATTGCCAGTAGAACGCGCCTTTGGGTAACTTATGACAGCCAATTATTGGTGACGAAGATTATAAAATTATTCGATATTTGGTGGAAATACGGAAATTGAAATGGCTGTTTCAACTGAGTGTTTGTCCTATATCTAACAAATGGTTGCATTTGAAGTGGTACACTGGGCTTCGTTAGATTTACACTCGAGGATCTGTGTTGAATATGTTTTTATAAATGTTTTTTTTTTTAAATTATGAATGTTTTATAGAAACTGAAACCACATGAATTTGCTTGAAAAAGGCTCTAATACAAAGAAAAAAGCCGCAATAAAACTGAGCATCGTCATTCTCCATAGAAAATGGTACACAAACAAAGGGTAACTAGAACACCTAAACACTTAATCTATAAACAATATTAAAATAACTCAATATTAGATAGGTCGAAGGCTGTCAAAGAAACTAACTCGTCTAACGACCTAAAATGTAATTTGCACTTAAAGTAAATTGTAATAAAAAATAACCGTCAATATGGGTACGATAAAAATCTCGTCATCCACAACTCAAACAGTAGAAAAATTGTTAACCTCCAGTAAAGTATTGCATCTGTCCTCAAGATTGCAAGTCGGAGTTTAATCGTGTGTATGAGTACATATTATAAACGGTCTGTTTTTTGGTTACAGTTAAACCTAAATGGCTATCAGCAAGCCATACACTGAAAACAAATTATGCCTTTGTACATCAGTGCAAAACCCAAAATGAATGACCAGTGGATAAAACTTATCGCTCGAATATCTAAACTAGCAATTGAAGGTTTAATACTTAATTGAAAGTAACATTCGTACGTGTTCCCGCAGGTCATATACCACGAAGGAATGCTACGGGATACTTAATAAGCCCCGATACAAAATACGCAGTTGGAAATGCGTTTTGGTAGGCAAGAGAAATTCGTATGCAATTTACGTGTGTGGGACACGACAGCATATTGTTCCCGTCGGAACCTTGCTATAAACTCTACGTGGGGCGCCGGAAATGCGCGCCAGACGTTAAACGTCCAAATAACCCATCACAAGACCGTGTACACTAAATAAGTAACGCAATTCTACTAAAACATATAATGTTTAAAATATTGACTCACAGGATTAATAAGTAACGTTCATTCTTCTTCTATGGTATAGTCTTCGCTGATATGTTAGCAAAAAGCTTACTAGGCTTACTGCCTTGACGATACTTGATCATCACTGGGCGACCCATAGCGCTAATAAATGCCCATATATGAAAAAATGGGCCAGCTCATGTCATAAAAACCATGCTAATAGATAGCTGAGGTGAGTATCAATATATAATAAATAAAACTTTATTAGAGTCTAGACAAGTCAGTTTCACGTTTACAGTCCCTACAGATGAGGCTACCTGATTGATCTTTTCAGCGGTTATGGGTGAAGATCGGATGTTGGCCACCATAGTAAAAGTATCAAATATAAATTACAAAATACATAATTTTAATACATTTTTCTGTAACTATTCGTTCAGTACGCTAGTCAGCGTACTTAAGTGAAATGAACCTAATTCTGTATAGTGGTATAGAGAAGGTAGACGGTAATAAAAAGTTTCTAGAATAGTATCTTTATTGCTGTACACCTACATCAATCGATCCGATAAACGTTTCATTTTTCGAGTAACGAATGACCGGCCGATTCTACAAAGCCCAACTGGTTTTTTGATGATTAATTATCGAGTGGCTTCTACCTACAAAACAATGTAGCTTCCATATTTGCATTGGCAAGCGATAATTTTTGCTGATATAGATGATATTTCAGAACTATTCTTGAGGTGACGGTAGACCCCGGTTAGCTGACCGTCCAATCGCTGATCGTTCCTATATTTGCTCTAAATAGGTAAAAGTTTGATGTTTATTTAGAAGATTGCAGCCACTATATAAAGCGAAAAATCGCATAGGAGAATCTCTATATTTTTGTTTGATACCTGAGTTACGATCAAAAGAGTAAAAGGGAATTGGATTAAAGAAAAAGTAATTTCTAATGATATATTGAGGCTTTTTATTGTGTTCCGCTGTATAAACATAGAGGTTCCCTGTTTATAGAACACCAACTGAACATCCATTAAAGCTAAGAAAACGTTGCGACAATACCCTGTTTTAAAGTACCGTGAATATATTTTTCTATTCGTACAAACTAATATGTTAGTGGAATTCAATAAATGGATAATTTTTTAGCTCGATTGTTGGATGCTATCTTAACAGGTGCTCAAACTTGCAACGGTCATCACAAAGCAGGTTCTATACCGGCACTAATTAAAGTAATCCACATCTTCGAACATATCCATCTCCTTCCGCAACAGCGCCAAAGAATTTTAAGATGAGATATTTTTGTAAGCTAGCAAAAGTTCGTATATAGCTTTTTCGTAAGGTGAAATTTAGGCTTGCTAGGTCTTGCGATCATACGAGTCACACGTACG